TAATTTTCATTGTAATGTTTTTCTTCTTTAATGCGTATAGAAAAGAATTATATTGCAATTGAAAACTTATAAAATAATATTCCATGTATTGCTATTCTCGCAACCAGTAGAGATTATTGTAATGTGCGCAAAAACACCGCATTTTTTACAGAAGAATCTATTACAGCGGCTGAACAAAAAAGTGGGTAAATCCAATTGTGAATTGCGAGAAAAACTATTTTGACAATGGCACGACCTTTCATGTATAAGTTTCCTAAAATTCTTGTTGTGGGATTCGCTTGATGATCTTTACCATTCCTTTAACTATTGTAGCCCAAGTCTTTTACAAGTTCAAAATTTTTGGTCTCTTATATGAAGAACGAGTATGATTACTTTAGAATATAAGAAGAGTTGTGATTACGGATATTCATTGAAAAATTTGAGCATTGTTAAGAAAATGGTGTTTCAGCATTCTATAAATTGAAATTGAGCTCTTCAAGAAAATTTTGATTTTTCAAAAACTTTATTTAAAGTCTTTAGGTATTATAATCGCCAATCCATAGTATGTACAAACAGCTGCGAATACCACCACATATTAAGGCCATCGAGATATTTAAAAAAAAACTTAAAAAATTTGTGTAATTATAATAAACAAAAGAATACAGATTAAGTTGTATTTCACAGTCAATTTACATCCATTGAACAGTTGGAAAAAAACTTGGAGCATTTTTTGAGAAAGGGGCATTTGGATTCTGAAAGCAGATTTTGGAGGTCATTTTAAACGGAACTCTTGGGAGTTTCGAAAAAATGTTACCTTTTACAAAGCACAGTGTAATCTTATGGTACAATAATGTCAACTTCTAATAAGTAATATAACGATTAGAGACCATCAACAATTAAATTTTGTAGAAACAGAATAGCGATTATTTTCATTTATAGAGTCATTATACTCATCAAAAGTTAAAAGAAAATTCTGGACCATTTGTGAAAATCTTGTTATTTTTAAAGTAATTATAGCATGCGTATTACTCAAAACCATACTAATAAATATATATATATTATATATATATTATATATATTATATTATATATATATATATGTATATATATACGTGTAATCCGTGTAATACCTCAAATGACTTGTATGTATATGTATGTATGTATATGTATACATATACATATACATATGTATGTATACATATACATATACATACATACATACATACATACATACAGTGACATTTTTAGAAATTAAAGTGTGTTATTAATAGACTCCATATGTTTAAGACTTTCATTTGTTTAATTTTTTATTTGTTCTACATATTCAAAATTATCTTTATCTTAAATTTGATTGTTTTTGTAGGTAATGCTGTTTTGGTCTTCGATCATATTTCAGACATTAGTCCAAATTTTTATCATATTGTATCTCAATTCTGTACCCTTACGTTCTGTACTTCTCAAAATTGATATCACGTGCAGAAAATTCTCAAAATTGCAGTGTATATAGTGGATATGATATCACTGTTTTCAGTAGTTTTCTAGTAATCATTGGTTAGAAATGCAAGCTTAATTTCAAAATTTTTAGATAATATATATGTACACTAGTAATGCAAACTGATAACTTACATGACTCCACAATTTTAAGAAAGATGACTTTTTGTTTCAGTGATGTCCTGGGCTTTAGTGATACAACTAAGGGATCAACATGGACCAGTGTGTGGTGTTTACCTTGGAAAAACATTTGTAGCAATGAATTAAAAACTGTATCATAATATAATTATGTGCCTGTAGTGGTGCTTGTGTGCTTCTCCTTGGGGATGAAGTTGGTGATCAGAAGTTGCGGATTCTTTGAGTGCAACCTTCGATCCTCAAGAGGTCCCACAACATAGAGAGAGCTATGCTGTATCTAATCAAAGCTGAGTTTATCTTGAAATTTGTATTGTAGCATCTCTATTTCCCATTCACACAAGTGCATCTACACAAAATTGTTGAAAAATGTAAAGGAATTAGACTGAAACCTAATGTCAGTTGTGTTACATTCATCTGCCATATAGCCAGTTTGGCAAGTAGTCTTTTTAACTTCTTTACAGCAATTTTGTGTTCCTCAGTGTACAGAGTTTATTGTTAATATGAGTTTTGATAGTTGTACACATCATTATGTGCTGAGAGTATCAGCATTACTTTTGTATATTTGGAATAAAATTCATGTTGAATGTTCGGAAAACATTTTAACAGATCCAGCAAAATCCCTTTTTTTCTCTTCAGGGAGAAAATTGGACTTCAAAATCCATTGTATTGGTATAATTTAATGCCATAAAGAAAAGCACAAAACAATTACTACTTGACTGTATGAAATTAATTTATCTTTCACCTAAAACTGTTGCATTTGTTGAAAATAGTTATGATACAGGAATTTTCCACAAAATAAATTGAAAATTTTCAAGGATATTTGAATAAATTGCTGTTTATCATATGAACAGTTGAAAGGGTTTATTAGCACTTTTGAAAAATTTCCCATTTTAATGACACCATTTTTAGATTTTGCTGCTTTTGTTGAGTGTGTCAGTATCTTCTGGTAAATTTCACTTTTGTTATGTTAACACTTTTGTGTATATTTATCGAGCATTTAAATAGTTTTGTGTTCCAACAGCGAAGGATGCATCAGTTGTTAACGAGGCAATGAGACTTGTGGTTTTTTCAGCATTAACTTAGTGTTTTCATAGAACCAAAGGTATTGTAAACCAGTGCTTGCAAATGAAAATCTCAGTGTAATACTCGTAAATATATTTTCTACAAATGTCTGTGTCATTTGTGTGAAATTCGATTGGTCACATTAACTTGTTTGCTCTGTTATGTTATGTACATATTGTAATGCCATTATCCAAGCATATGCTTGTATTTATTGTTGGTACAATTGGAAATAGCTCTTCATTAGCATTTTTTAACATGCATTTTCTTCAGTGTGCTTATTAGTATAATTATAAATTTTACATTGTATTTTGTGTTGAGTGTTGAGGGGAAAACTGCTTGAACGTGGCATATATGTGAAGAAAATTATGTGCCATCTTAATAACATGAATTAAATGTTTGAATTATGTCCTTGAGCAAAATGCCAAGTAATTGACAGAGATCAAACTTACATAGGTCTGAGCAGAGTAAACAACTCTGTATGTAGAGAACCTCTTGAAGGGGACAGATTATTTATGTATGACATGTTGACACGTTTGTAAAAAGAATCTCCTCTTAATGTTGCATTCTACATTGATATTCAAATGGTACATTGATCCATTCCTCATTTCTTGAATTGCTGTGAATTTGTAAAGAGTTTTCAGAATTGTACAAGAGATGCTACCAATTGCTCTGAAATACCTTTGTGCCTTTACACAAAAATTTGTAGCCATTACCTTACCTGTTGTCATTGTAGAGTATTGGAAGTTCAGTGCTGTGGATGTTAATGTCTCAACAGACATTTCATACTTAATGTTCTCATGCACTTTGTTTGTCATGCACTCGATTTGTAGTGTTTGGGACTGTCCTTAGTTGTCATTTCAAAGCAGGACTTGATCTCTGTGCCTTCTGATAGATGTAGTGTGTTAAGTCAATGACTAAATGACACCTCTTAACAATTTTTTTACTTCATTGTTTCTGCAACTTCAGTGAATTTAGGCTTATAAACAGTCAATCATGCCATTTATTATGATGGATGTTTGTTGGGAAAATAAATGTACATATTTCACTAATGAAAATTAATTGAAAAATGCTTGTGTATAGATAACTTTTAGAATATCTTCTATGAAATAATGCTATATTAAATATGCATCTAATTTTGCATTTTACTCTCTCCACATTAATTTATTTTATTAATATGCATTATTTTTCCAAATCTAGTTTGGCACGTACATTAATGAATGAGTATTAATGATGGACAATGATAAGAAATAATTTTTTCTCTGTTATTAAATTGAGCCAATGTCAATTCGAAATTGAAGTTATTATGATTGAGATAGCAAGACAAATCGAAATGAGTGTGATGCAGAATATGATTCTTTTATGATTTTAATTTATATTTAGTGGTAATTGCTTGAGAGTTGTGAATAGTTAAGCTAAAATTGCTAAATAATATATTTGAGTGCTATTCTGGCAAGATGGATTGGATTGTTACAATGCTGGATATTATAATTGTGTCCATGTCAGTTGAATTAATTCTCAGACATTTGCAAATTTCATTTCAGAAATGTGATTTTAAGTAAATCCTTGTTTAGCGTAAATGAAATGGAATAGAAACTTCAGTGGGTTTTTTTGGGGGGGGGGGGGGCACAAAAATTTAGAGACATTTCTGTTAATTTTCTCATAATGTTAAGCAGTTTAACAACTTTTTTTATCTGAAACGATTGAGTGAATTATTTTGTAAGAATTCTGAATAAATTATTTATTAAATGTATAATATCTTAAGAGATTAGTTTTACATGGAAGAATGGCAGTGTTGCCTTGTTTGATAAATGGCACTAAACCAGAGTGTAACTGAATGATTTAAACTTTCTTGGTTTATTTTGTAATTGAATATTATGTTACTTTTAATTTTGATTTTCAATTTACCATTGTATTTTCTTTAAATTTATTATTGTGATTTTTTGATACAAAGTAACCTACATATTAAATTAAAGTATTTGTGTATTTTGGCCTTTTCTTAATCTATATAATAAAATGACAAGTGGTTAGAGTGAAGTGAATTGTCCCAAGCTTACATTGTTCTTAAATGTAGTAATTAATTATCTAAATAGTCATATATTTAAATCCTATATTTTTATTTACCCATATTCATGTTACCTCTGGATTAGTAAAAAAAATAAATTATTTCAATGTGGTTAACTACTGGAGTAACATTGTTTTGGTATTTTTGTTTAGTACAATTATCAAGAAGTGTAAAAAAACATGGTTGAGCAGAGATTATATTTGATTTTAGAATTTTAAAATAAATGACTCAGATGTATTTATTTTTTCTTGAGTTTTTGCTGCTCTCATTATTCAGATCCATTTAGAGTGCAACTACTATATGGTATGATCTAGAATAGCTACTTTTGAAGATGCCTCTTTTACTTAAAATTACTGGAAACATTTTGACATAGAGTTTTTCTTTTTCTTTCCCTAACTAAATAATAAGTTATAGTACATATTGGTAATGCTTTAAATATAGGATAAATATTAGGTGATTATTTTCATAATAATACTAAATTAAAATTAGTAGTCTTAATGGAATTTCAATTCTGCATGCCGCCTCAAGAGTATGTATATACTTACTCTTTATAAATGGAAATGCGGTTTATGTGGTTGAAGTATGTTCTAAGCATATCAAAAACTAACAGAACAATTCAGTTGACCTGGACCCATTTATTTTATCTATGAATTATTTTTCATTGTTTCAATTTTTCCTAATAGAATCAATCTGTTTATAATATTAATTTTAATTAATGTAGTTTGGCTAAGTTAAAAGTTACATGTGTTACAAAACATTTCTTAATTGCACATACACAAGATATGTCAAGTTATGCTTTGTAATATGTGCAGATTCCCCTTTTTTTTTTTTTCAATTGACAGTGCTAAATTATAGCCCTGTGTTTATTTTTTTATATTTAAAATTTTTTGAAATATCAAATAATGTAATTAACTATTTCTTGAACATCATTATGAGTGTAGAATCTCAGTAAACCAAAATTGCTGAATAATTTTGAATGATAGGTGTTCTTTCTGGAGTAGTCATAAAGTATCACACAGTCATTTTTATATAATTAATTATGCTATTGATGGAATCTCAGTGGAAAATTATAATTTCCTTTATCTTGTAGGTTTACTTGTATGAAGTAATTTCTTTGTTAAGTAAAATGTTCTTTTATTCATTCCAGATAAAGATGAATTATGTACTGATTATGGTGTTCAAAAGTAGTGATTTACATTGAATATAACTTGTATGTGTAGATATAATATGAAGTAATCAAAGTTAGTGAATGGGTTTTCTCAGTGTTATAATAATTCTATGGTTATTTTGTTAATTTAGAATTTTTGTTTTCATTAATTTAATTTTTTATGCTCTTGGAATCAAATAATAAATATTAATAGAAATAGAAAATCTCTTCAGATAATTTTGAATGTATATATTTTAATATATATATTTTCTTTATTTTTGAAGTACAAGCATATTACTTATATTGTTACTTCTGTCAAGGATTGTCATAACATTATTTTGACAAGCAATATAGTAATTATATTGTTAGGGACAATTATAATTCTTGTTATTGGGTGATTTGTAACTCCTTGTTCATAAAATATAGTGTGCTGAGAATCATACGTTAGACAATTTGTGAAAGTCATACTGACCTGTTGTGCATTTTATCTCAGGAATATGTTAGTCCAGTCATAAGGAAAATAGTATATTGTAATAAGTTATTTAATGTGTACAACTGCAAAAAACTTGAACTTATATTTTATCATGTAATTAGAATGTATCATTAAGAGGAGTTGAATGTATCTTTGAGGCATTTTTATAAATGAAGAGTAAGAAGGTTTGGAAGAGAGAATACTAGATCAATGAAGAACGTAAGTTTCAAGTGAATGAAAGAGGATATTGCCGCAAAGTCCTGTAGCTGTTTTGTCAGCATTAGAGGTATTATTAATAGAATAGTATGAATGTGGCATTATTGTCACATACAACTGTCTCATGGAAAATAAAGCAATTGGGCCATGTTGTGGTCTTGGGTTATGACAATCTTATTTGTGATTGTGCTTGAATTGGAAACTTAGAATATTCAATTTTATAGGGAGGTAGCAATACAAAATATTTTTTTCAGTATTTTACTGAATGGTGCCACAATTTCCCTTTTATAATACAAAGCTGTTTTTGATGCAGACTTCAGATTTTAATTTCACTGGTGCTTATACCATTCATCATACTTACTGTCAATTGTGTTAAGCAATTCATTCATACCTAGCACAATTTCTTTGTATATTGTTAATGAATAGCTGTGTTGATATTTCTATAGTAAATAAGAAGAGAGATGGATTATCAGTGACAAAAAAGCGTTAAGCTTGCACATTAATTTAAATCATAGTGAATGGATAATTTTGATAAGTGAATGCATGTGCTTGTTACATTGTAAGTATAATATTAATATACAAAGCAAAACAGGTACTTCATTGTGTGGAATGAAATTAATCTTGCATATTTATTTAAATTTTGTATCTTATTGAAAACATAATAGTAAATGAATAATGTTTGCATATAAAGTGGCCAATTTGTTTGTGATAACTCAATAATTTGGTAATGTTATTGAGATTAATAACTAGTGAACTGATGTACAGTGTAAGCACAAACCTTATGTTTTGTATACTGTGCACACAAATATGATTTTTCTAGAATATTCTAACTTGATTGTTCTTTTTATCCGACTACAAGATAATTCCCTAATTTTGAATATTCTTTTCATTTTAACTATTTTTTAATATTTATTCCATGAAATTGCAAATTTTTTTCTTGACATTACTTGTGCTATCACAATATTTTTCTTCCTTGTAATGGTTAACATTGTAATTGTCTCTACCGTCATCATCTTCTCTTGTATTGTTTCTTCTTCTTTTTTCTTTCTTTTGTAGTCTCATGTCATCTTCTGACCTTTTAGGTATCCCTGTAAGTTTTGTGCATTGACTTTATATTTGTTGTCTTTCATCTGATGCCACCTATGGACATTCCTTTCTGTGACACTACATTTTCTTTCTGTTGCGCTGTTGTTGGTGATCACGGTTTCTGTAATAACCATTAACTTGAAATTTGCATTGTGTAATTACTCCATAATGGAGTTGTGAACTCATACAACACTGCACCTTAAAAAAATCTCACTTTCATTTATTTTCATGTTATGTTTCTCTTACTACAATGTTATTTGCACAAGATTCTCTCTTTCCTGGCCCATTCAAAAATATTTGCCGGAATCACGTAGCACATCTATGGTGGATGCCCAAAACATCTGTGAATATTAGTTTTAAAAACAAATTTAAGGAACTAAGAATTATAGTTACACTTGATTTATTATCGGCTTTGCTGCTTATTCTTGTCTGTGTGAGTTTCTCGACAGGGAAAGACAATGTAAAAATATTTATGCCAGCCATAGTGTAAACTGCAAATGAAAGATTTTTGAATGAGGTATTAGGAAAAAAAAAACTAGTCTTGTATTTGGGTAAAGATGGTACTATTCTGTAAAATTTATAGTGGAGTCGCGTGCGAATTTGGCATATGTTTCTAAGGAAGGTGATTTGAACCTTTTGAAATCCAAAAAATGTTGTGCTTCACATTGTTGTTACTTCCATAATGATATGCTATTTAACATGATCTTGTGTTGACATGTAACATGCATTTATGTCATATTTGATGTGACAATATTAAATGTAAATTGCTGTTAGGAAATGTTTTATTACAATAATTTTGTTGTTCTCCAGTCCTCAATACAAGAAGGGAATGTTAATACTGAATATGAAATGAATTCTTCATTTATTTCTTAATGCCTCAAGAGCATTTGATGTGAGGAAGTAATTTCATGAACCAAATACCCATATAAGTAATTGTATGGAGTTGGGTATGTTCTTCTAGCATTCCTTATCTAAAATATATGTGATGCAATTTTTGAACATAGTTTTGGCTGTGCATTAAAAGGAATTCGTTTCAAATATCTGGGTCTTTGTAACTTTTGTGAAATGAACTCTTTACGTTTGCAGATTTTTTTAAAGTAGAGACATCATGAGACATTGAATAAAGAACTTCATTGTAAATTTCCTTCATACCAATTTGGGTTGTGGAAATTTCAAGTTAGAAGATGGATGCACAAATCATATAATATTCATATCATATGTCATGTATCGAACATTTGATGTAGTCAGCTTTTCCACAAAAATGTGTTTATAAAATAAGAAAATGCTCAATAACAAGTTCTATAGTAAATTACAAAGATTTTGAAAGTAAAAGTAATTTCTAGATTGACAATTGCTATTTTTTAAATATTTAATTTCATTTATTCTGTAACAAACACCCATGAGAAAATACTCATGAATTTGCTCTATTGTAAGAAGAAAAATATCGAATGAATTATTAATTTGTTTGGTTGTATATTTTGGGTATTGTATTGTTTTATAACTGCACTACATTGTCACACAACACTCATTTTCAACATACCAATTTCTAGTGTTTATTTTCATATTGAAAGTCTTCATGAATTTCAAGTTTTGTTTTGGGATTGTACTACGACGACTAGACAAAATGAAAGTTAATAACTACAATTTTTTCTTCTGATTCATCTTTACTAGTTTTCACAAATAGTGATGTGAACATTCAAAACTAGAGAAAGTGTAATGGTTCTTATAGTAAATAGAAATTTGAGCAAAATTTATATTTGATGAACGTGAAGATAAACTAAACTGGTAATATTCTGCTTTAGTTGTGCTAAGTGCATTTACACATCTGAAGTAAAATTCACATTTTGCTTCAGGGAGAACTAAACATTAATTTATCTTTCGTGTTAGCATTTCTGGGGGTATATTTTGCAAGAAGAGCTGATTTTATTTTATTTTATTTTAATTTTTTTTGTTTGCAATTCTTTTAACATCATTAAATTTTATGTTCTAGAAATGAATGTGTCATATCCGGAATGGGTTATAAAATATCTATATACATAGTATGGGTTGTTCTTATTAGAATCCACAGTGTTACATTTGTTTGCGAATGTTGTTTGCATTTTCTTTTTGAGCTATATGACGTGTAATTTTTTTTGTCTACATTAGATTTGCGTCTTTTACATATATTGAAAAGTTCTTTTATAGCATGTGTTGAAACTATATTCGGTGTACTTTTTATTGTTATGTTTTTCAAGTATAAATAATTGGAAAATTGAAATTATACGTTCCAATTATAGAAAGCATTTCTACCAATGATGATAAGAGAAGGATTTTTGATTTGAAGCACACAAATTTTGGAATATTCTTAGCAAAAGACTGAACTACAAGACTATATAAAGGGAAATTCTGAAGTGTGAAGGATTGTAAATGGAAATAAACTGAAATATTTGTCATAAATCAAATACCTAATGAAATTTACAATTGAAAATTGCATTAATAAATTGTTACTATTAATTTTACTGTATTCAAAAAATTTAAATTAATAAGAGGAAAAATTACTTAAAGAAAGGAGGATGATGACATTTATTTTGATTATGTTCGCAGATATTATTGTAAAATGGAGAATTTGACACTGCAGGATCTGATTGGAATGATGTATTATATAGATTTATAATCAAAAGACTGAAATTTTGAATGCATTGGGAATTTATTTGCTACAGAAGTGAAAGGTCTGTATTCTAGAATGTATATTTGTGCAGCACCAGCAGTTATGCAACTTGTGAACCATCAATGAAATGGGTATCAAGGCAGGCTCTACTACTCATTTTCACTTGGCCTCTCTCAAAAAGAATTATGTTACATGCAGTATTTAATCTTTTTTGATTTACCATCATAACATCTTGAACTTAAATTGATTCATTTGAATTCGCTTAAATTGATATTACTATCACGCTGGTCTGTTTTCTTTTAAGGAAGCAATTTCTTCTTTTATTTTCTTTCTTTTTCCTTTTGTTCTTCCAACACTTTTTTTCCAAGGTATGAAATATGAAACTTTATGGCCATGTCTTTTTAACTTATTACATTGATAAGAGGTGCGAGTAGCAAGCAATTAATGTGAAGCTTGAATGGTTACAGGTAGTCTGGAGAATTGTCAAATATCAAAGAACAAACATTTTGGGTAGGCTTGAATTAAAGAACTTTTTGAATTTAACAGCAATGATTTAGCTGTTTGCAATGCATTTCAAATCTGCGTTGCTCATTGATAGAAAATCAATTGTCAGTATTCTTTTAATTGTGCTGATGTTGTGTAATTGTGCTTTGTAATTGTACAAGGACCAGTTGTGATGGGTAATGTTGTGGAGGGTAATGTTTGTGATATTTGTGATGAGTTGTCTCTGTTGTCAATTTCATAGTTCTTGGTAGCCCTGATTCGTTTTTATTCATCCCTGTATAATGAACTTTGGGAACCAGGCATTAAAAAATAGCTGTCATTACTTTTAAAAGTGCATTTACAGCAATAAAAACTGGAATGTAAATACACTGTTGGTATTTAAAATTGCACTTTAGTTTAGTAATAGGATGTACTTCATTACTATTCCAAGATCACTGTGAAAAAGTTATGAATTTTTCATTCTGTAATGAAAAGGATTTTACTGTATGTGTAATATATTTCATGTTAAAGGCCATGTCAGATGTTTAGCAATGAAAATTTGTATTCCTGGAATGCAATCAAAAGTTTCTTTTAATTTTTTGATCTGTTTCATTTATAAATCTACTGAAACTTCAGTTTTAAGACTACATAGTGAAATCTGCATTATTCACTGAATCTTGTACATATTTTATATTACTGATAATCCAAAAATCCTTATCTGTTGCTCATGGTTTAAACTCTTGAAGTATGCAAGACTCATGAATTTGTGTGGGTACTTGTACTTAGGCAAAATACAACAGATACTTGGGTGCAATTTGTAGATCTATTATTGAGCGGAATGGAATATTGAGGAGTGTTTATATGAAATCTCTTTTAAATCAGATGCTTTCCATCTTATTGTTGTTTTATAATACACAAACTTTTATCCTGATGGATGTGTTTGCAGTTGTTGAAGGTCTGAGAAGTTCATTGGATAGGTTTTATGTTTTCATAGATATAAAGTCTTAAAAGTTTCCCTAGATACTGTGGTTCAATTGACAATTTTTTTCTACCTATATTATGCAAGCATTGATGTATTAACCATGGGCTATGTGCAATAGGTACATTGTCATGCACTCTTCAAAGCCAACCTGTTTAATAATTTAGAATGAAATTTTCACATGTGTAAAGAAGATATAAAAGGAGGAAAGAATAGAAAATGTTTATATTAATCTTCATATTAATGCGGGGTTTTGTCATCTCAGAGCAAGAGGAGTTCCATTATAAGCATTAAAGCCATTTAAGAAAAATTTTAAGACTTTTGAAGAAAGTACTTCATTTGCAAATGGTTTCAGTTGTTTTATAGACAATATTTTCTTTGCATGGGAATTATTAATTAGTTATTCAATACAAATTTTTTTTATTAGTATTTTTTTTTCTTCATAGAAATATTCATGTCTTGAAAATTTCAAAAAGATTGTAAACAAAATTTGAAGTGCAATTTCAGGGACTAAAATAACTAAAATTTTCTTGTGTTGAAATCATTGTTTATACAAAGATCAATTTGTATTGATCAGGGAAATTTTTACATAATTATTGCTGTTGTAAAAGTATCATTTTATTTTGTTATTTATTTTAATATTGTTCCCTAAGGGGTATCTACTTCTTGGATTTTTGATCAAAATTGTTTTAAACCTGTAATTATAATGTTTGGGAAGAGCTTTGCAGAAGTACGTAAAGTATTTCTCATTGAATGAATATGTTGTCAGTGAAGATTTTATTTAGGCTGGGAAGTGTAGACTTTCTTTGTTTCTCCCTTTTTTTGCTTTCTTTTTTTCTCCCTCTCTCTTAATCAAGAGAGTTGAAATGTTGATGTACATAAATATTGTAACATCCAAGTTATGAATCATTATCACTAAACAAAATTAGTATGCGGAACAATTTTGTTTGTGAGTTATCAATGATGCATGGTTTTAAATGAGTATGAATTGGCATGTTCAGAAATTTCTTTAAAATGAACATATGTGTACAAAATTATTAATATTTTTCTGAGGGAATAGTCATATAGACTTGTGCATATCAATAGTATTTAATTAGATAATGACATGAAGTGTGGGGTGTTATGTTAGTGGGATTGTATTGTGTTGATAATTTTTGCTTGCTGCATTTACTTTTGCTACTTTTTCTGTGGTACATTATTTTCAAACACTTCATATCACAAATATACAAAGGGAAAAGTGCATGTATGAATGTGAATGAGTAATTGTAGTTTATAACAATAGGTAGTTGTGTATAAAGAAATGTTTGAATTACTCATGTAAGCGATATGATGATCATGTTATGACATAATGGTTATAGATCCTAACATTTACTTACAAGTATTGCGAAAGTAGCATAAAAAGTAGTGAGATGTTGGCAATATGTTTTTAAAGTCGTAGTGTTTGGGGGTTTCAAAATATTTGCATTGCAAATTACAATGTTGGTATTTGCTGACAATGGCAACCCTAACTGCAGTATAAGTAGTATGCCACCCTGTGATTTCACATTTTGAATAATATATGGTTGTGAGACTGAGGAGCTGAATGCAGCCTGTCAGTGCCAAAAGAGTACCAACCCCATTTCTGATAGAAATGAACAAAAACTGAACTTTGCTGAATGCTGTGACTAAACGTGTGAATGTAATAAATTGTTATTTATAAATAATGCATTTTATATTGTGAATAGCGCAATATCTCTGTTTCAGTGATGTTGCATAGCTCTCTTCTATCAGTAGGAAAGAGTGCTCTATTTCTGTGTACCTATTTTGATATGTAAATACATACAGATTTGTAGAAGTCTTATGTTGTATATTTCTTTTGAGTCTCGCCTCAAAAACACCCTTAAGTGGGAATTTATTATTGCATATTCCTTGGAGTGTACAAAACAATATTAAGAAGATTAAGTTAGAGCTGGACAAAACGCCTTCGATTATCGATCGTTTTCGATGGCTTTCTTTTGCAATGTCGGGAGGAGGGGGCGGCGGCGCGCGCTTTTCTACCTGTACTGGATCGAAAGGATTGCAGTCAGAGAACGGAACTGTCTCCTCCGCTCATTCTCGTCAGTGTCAGCGGAGCGTGCTGTGTGCAGTCTTTGGTAGTTTCAATGTGTTCGCTTGTCATAGGCACCATGAGCTCTCTTACAAAAGGAGAGAATAATTCATAAAGAATTTTAATTACAAACTAATGGTATTTCAACACCATACTTTCTCGCGTTATGTGTATTAGTTACCGAAAATAATGCAAATCTAAATTTTTAAAAAGTTTTACATCACATTTTATAAGATTTTGAAGATCAGATTTCAACAAGAAACTGATGCTAAAGCAGCACGTACTTTCTCCCCCATATTTTTTCGCAAAATTACGTGTAAGTACTAGTTATCGAAAAATTGTACATGGCCTTATTTCAAAATTTATCTTTAAGGAACAGATTTCATTAAGGGAAACAATCTATATCCCTTATTGTAGTTGTAAGATGATGTTGAAAAAATTTGAACTTCTGCAATTTTCGAAAAATTAGGATTTTCAACGAACATGAGACCTGCACCAATCACTTAAATACCCTTCGCACTAGCCAAACAAAATTTAATAAAAAACAATGGAGCCTTTTTTTAAATTTGGAAATTGTCCTTGGGCCTTCATGAAAAGTACCCTTAAAATTAAATTATCGATTTTAAATTCAAGAGGTCGCGGCATCAGCCACATCGATTGTGGAATATCAATTTTGGAGAAAATCGGATGAACGGTTTAGCCGTTAGCGTTGTTCACGGACACGTTTTGCTGTCATTCGATTTTTCGGTATCAAGGACCCACAAAGCATAAATTCCGTCTACACTACGTGATAGTTTTTTCTAATTTTAGTAACGAATTTATCCAATTTTTCCGTACCAGGGCTCTGTAATCAGAATTTTCTGACGAAAGTTCGTCGTTTAGTAGCAAATCTCTGTACTCCTTAGGGACAAAGTAAAAATATCTATCTTCAACATTAAAATTGTAGGAAGACGCAAAAATAAAAGAAATAAAACTTTTGCAATTTTCGAAAATGAAATTGCGCCATTTTATCAATATTCTTTCTTCTATTCGAGAAAAAAATGAAGTTATGGCAACGTCTATTGTAGGATTCATGTAGGTGCCGTTTTTAACAAAATCTTGTTTATATATTTCTTTAAAATTACATTTATTTCATACAGAATTACGATTTTTTAAAAATTACTAATATTTTCAAAAAATGTACAAGATCATAAAGATTATTTTTTCAGAACGAGGTTTATGGAGGAAAACATCTCTTACCAATAGTAGTTGATGCCCAAAGACATTGATATTTTTATAAGCATATTTGATTTGATTCATTGTTGTAAAAAAAGGTAAAAACTGTATGTGACGTATGGGAGAGGGAGTATCAAACTGCGCACTTTTTCTTGAGCTGCAGAGTTCCTTCCCCACCCATTTCCTATACGTAATTGAATGATGAATAAATGTATCAACAAAGCGAACTTAGCAACATTTGGTAACAAGAAATCTTCGCTTCCGAGCTATAAAAAAATATTTGCGTCAGTAAACGAACCCAAGATTTGATTTTATGCCAAAAAAATAGCAACGCACCAAAGGCTCTAAGCCTACAAACTCTTGCAAATGGAGAGTTGAAGAAAATGTGCTCATAATACTTATGATTGACCTTCACGAGGCTTTAGGATTTTCTAACAGATATTTTGATTGTTGAAGGTTTTATATATATATATA